CCTTCATTTGGAAAGGGGTGTTCTTCGATGAATTTTTGTTCGCTCTCCTCATTAATTGATCTATCCGATTCGGTTTCCGAGGTCTCATCAGTGAAATCGTCTTCCCCGGGACTGAAATCTTCATCTCCAACAATTTCTTCCTCGATGTCCGGTCCTCTCATGGTAAAGCTCGTCCCTTCACCAAAATTACCGGCATGCGTAGTCCACGTACCCTCACCACCAAACATTCCCTCGTAACCATATGATGGCGTAGGATCCTCAACCTGTGTAACCTGTGTGTTTACTTCCAACACTATATACAAAAACACATAGGACATAGGAGGAAAGTAGTAAATCCACGAAAGAGCATTATCATTATTCAGTCTTCCGGGAATAAACAAACCATCCTGTTGTCTGGCCATCAAAGTAATATCCAAAATTGTCCAGCTATCACGAAACCCACCATTTTCGTAAATCATATCTACCAATTGTTCATATGATATTATTCCATTAATAATAAATGAACAATCTGGACGAGACATATAATTCGAAAAATTGCATAACTCACTCTGTGAAATTTTCCAGTACACATTAACAAAGTAAGGACCATTAGACGCCATTTATAACATGTTGCACAAAAAAAAAATTCTATTTTACAAATTACAACAACATATAATGGCTAATCGAACACCCGAGAAAAAATTCAATTATTATTTTATCAATCTAAATTTAAAACTCATTTCCAACAACAACATATAATTAATCATATTTTTACTCCAACAAAAAAAAAAATCGTCAATTAATTTATCAAAAACACCACCAAAACCCTAATCACAATAATCCAACAATAACATCAAATTCATAAACAATTCGGATAAATATTCAACATACATTAAACCAACATTCAAGATTTTCTAAACAATAGCAAATAACAAATTATAATCATTTAACACAACTATTAAACCAACATTCAAGATTTTCTAAACAATACTCAATTAACCAAATATATCTCTTAAACATTCATAAACAACAAAAAAATAATATTACATTACGTTAAAATAACAACAAACGCGCATCTGGTCGGGGGAGGATCTTGCAACTCATTATATCAACCAAAAAACGGATTTTGGAAATCCGTTTTATTCGTTTTTAATTTTTTTTAATTAAAAACGGATTGTGAAAATCCGTGTTATACAGTAGATCTATTATTATTATTAAATTCGACCGTTTTCTTTAAAAAAAATAAATAAATAAAAAATAAAAACGGATTATCATAATCCGTTTTTTCTAATAATTTTTTATTAAAAAAAGGATTTTCATAATCCGGCTGTTTTATACTTTTCCACAACTTTTTCTTTTGTTTTATTTTTTGCCACATATTTTTTGTTTTTTAAGATATATAATCCACCCAATCTATCACCCTATAAAAATATCTAATTTTATTTGTGTATATTTTATACTTTTAATATTAATTTTATTGTGACAAGTAAGATAAAAATGTGTATAAATATAAATTAGAGATTAAACACAAATATGGTTATTACGAACAGTCATGTGAAAAATACAATTAAAGTAATTTAATAAACTATCATTATGTTTTAATTATTATCGCTAACACAAAATATTTTTTTATTGCTAAAATAAATTGTAATTATTATATCATGTAGTTTTTTATAGAATGTAGACAATTTATAATGTTTTTATTCTTATGTCACACGAGATTCCTGGAAAAAACTCGAGTTGGACGCATAGATGGAGATTAGGACAGATTCGAAGAACAAATAGAGGAAAATGTTTAAGTCATGTGAGCTCTAGTTTACATGCTTCTCAGTCCAAGTTGTGGGCCTAATGATGTGTTAGCTTGTGTGTATATGTGGGCAAGGTTTTCATTACAAGATTGCTTTTTTATATTTTATTTTTTTAATCACATGTTATAGCATCTCCAATAGTTTTTTCATTTCTATATTTTGTTGCCACATGATACAAATAATATTACGTGGCTTGAAAAAATTCTAGAAGGCTTTCTAGATGCAAACACCCTTCTAGACAACTTCTATTGTATATTAGATTATTTATTCAATTTATTTATTTTCTTCAACCAATTAAAATTTTACACATTACAAATAATATCACAATTAATATTGACCATTGGAGATATAATTTTTTAGTTTTCATTCTCCATGCCATACAACATAAAATAGACAATTTTCCATTGAAGATGCTCTTAGGAAAGGATAGATGTGGAAACGAAAATAAGTATTTTTTCTTGACAGAAAAATAAAGAAAAATGCTTATTTCCATTTGTGACTATATATATAATATGTTAATATAGGCTATGTTTGGTAAAACTAGCTTATAAGTTAGCTGATAGCTGATAGCTTATAAGTGGACTAGGTCTAACTTATGTGACAATCGAAAAATGAGCACAAATCCACACTTGGTCTATTTTGGACCCAAATACAAACTTGAACAGTCAATATTTATTCTTAATTTTTTTTAATATATAAAATATATTAGAGCATTTTTATTAGTTGACAGGTTTTATAGACCTAGTATTTTATTTTTGCACTAGATAGTTTTTAGATTTTTTTACTTGATATTCGTCTATGTCATTCATGACTTAAATCCATTTATATGCCACATATGTAAAATTGAACTATGTTGGATGCTCTTAGGTGATAATGGACCATCTATCCATCTTAATTACTATATGGGCTTTCTCAGGATGCTTTTATAACATATACAACATTTTGTGTATAGTTATAGATTTATATGAACAATAATTAATTTTGTATTATCTATCCTAAAAGGTTCCTATATTAAGTATTTTTTAAATTGGATTTTTGTTTTTTAATATAAAAAGTTATTTCAAACTGTTAGTTATCAAACAATTATATTAAAGGTTATCAAATCTCTAATTTAGCTCCAATATGCTATTTAGTATTTACCATAGGCCATAATTTTTAATTAACTTTCGTAAGATTGTCGTTAAGCGGCTTCACAATTAGACAACCATGTTTTATTAACATATATGTATAATTTTAAATTAAATGTCATATTTAAAAATACGTATATAAATATATTTTTTCATTAAAAAAGAAAAGTAGTTCCTACCAATTAGCTCCCTTGCAATTTTTTTTTGTAACTTGTAATAGCTGTAAGACATGCGGATCTCTATCTTTATAATACGTGTTTATGCTAATTAATTTTAAATTTTTAATTGACCATTTCAACTGTTGATCATAACGGATTTGCAGATTAAAGAAGTCGGATTTGCTAGAAACTTTTGGAGGATAAGAATAAATATCCTGTGCACATGCACAAATGTATATAAAATATTATAAGTAATATTTGAAATTTAATATTAAAATTTTAGATAATGAATATATTATATTTTTAAAATTTAATCATTAAGAAAAATAAATTAATGATTGTTTATTATTATGAATAATTGTTTATTATCATTAGATAATAGCAGTTTGATTATTATTATTATTATTATTATTATATTATTAAAATAATTATTTATAAGATTCTAAAGTTGTTTGACTATGCTATTAAAACACTAATTGTTTTTGAAGAAATTTTTTTATGAGATACAAAAGAAAAAGATAATATTGATGTTAAAATAAATAACTTGAAACAATTGTTTATAATTATGCAATTTATATTTATTGTGAATAATTATATGTTGGTATTAGCATTAACTATTATATAATCTAGAAAAATACATGATTACACTCAATATGATGTATTAATGTGAGAAGTAAAAAACATTAATGATAAATTTTGTAACCGAAAATAGAGGAAAAATTTTAAAGGTTTTATTAGATAGGTTTTCTTAAATGTTATTAGCTAGTAATTATAGATATAGATTAGCTTTTTGTTTAGTATTGCTAGTGAGAAGGGACTTTTTAACTATAAATTATAATACCCTTTTTTCTCTTTCTATATTGATATATTTATTAATACTGTGACATTATTATGCAATCTTATTAGTAATTATACCCATATAAGAAAGAAAGATTTTAAACCATAATTTAATTAGAAAAAAAGGCCAAATGACTTTGCTATGTAACATTGGTTACACCCTACATTAGCAAAATAACTCATATACACGTCTACATACATTGTAGACTCCTATATTTATACTACCAGACCTTAAAAGTTAAAATATGAACATATCTACTAATAATTAATTCTATTAGCCAACTTTATGTATTTTATTTATTTATTTTAAGATTAATAAAATTTATCGTTTTCTGCCCACATTCAATCCCTTCTTTTCCTTCGTTTTTGAGTCAGATTAGCAAACACACACACACACACGCGAACAGTAAAATCAAACTCAACAATATCGGCTACTTGGGCTTCCCTGCTTGCAAGGTTCTCTCTTTCTATACAAGCAATAAATATACTAAAAAATATATATCGTGAAACTTGAGAGTATAAAACAGAGAGAAAAAAGGAGAAGAGTATTATATTCAATCAATCATTCATCGACCAAGAACACTCCACGCCATTGTTAAAGGTGTATTACACGCAGAGGAAAAAAAAAGCACATGAAAATCACATGGGTTTCGTGTTCGAAGCTTTTTTCTCGTAGTTAACAAGTCGTGGGTTGGAATTATCTTCTCTCTTTCGTCTTCGAGTTACGTTTTTCCCTTTTTTTCTGAACCCCTTTGGGACTACTAGTTTTTTTTTTGGGGTGTGTGTGTGTGTGTGGGGTGTTTTGTCGGTTGATTGATTGCAGGGAATAATTACAATCGTGACAAAGTTGGGGATTCTTGATTTNATTTTATATAGCCCTTTTGAGAAGGGTTCTGCTGTTAGTCGGTGGCAGTCGGAATTTTGTCGGCTGAAGGAAAAGATTCGGATCGATTCTGCGGATCTCCGAGGTGGGTTTCGGATTTCTGGTGAATAAATCGGTGCTGAAATAAATTCCTTAAAAAGGAAGTCCAATTGCTGATAATTGATTGCTGGTGGGCTTCGACTAATTGGGTTTTCTGGAGTTTTTCCTGCGTAAAAACTGAATATTTGATTCAATCCATCTTTGAACTAGGGGAATCGAGCTGATCCCACTATTGCACCTGCACAAAGTTTCAATCTTTAGGTCATCCTGCCCAAAACTCAATTCGAAGAATTGCTGTCAGATAAAATAAAGAAAAATGAGTTCCAATGATTCCGAAAGCGTGGTCCAATCGGGTAAGCTCGTGGTACACATTGCTGAGAACGGCCATTCGTATGAGCTCGAATGTGACGAATACACTCCAGTCGAGTCCGTACAGAAGTACTTGGAATCCCTTTCCGGAATACCCTTCAGTGATCAACTTCTCTTGTGCCTGGACATGAAACTCGAGCCCCAACGCCAGCTGTCAGCCTACAAGCTCCCAGCTGAAGGCCGTGAAGTATTCCTATTCAATAAATCGAGAATGCGCAGTAATTCAGCTCCTCCAGCCTCCGAACAAATCGAGATCATCGACATCCCGGACCCACCATTGCCGTCCCCATCAAATAACTCACACCTGTTAGATGATTCACCGGACCCCGCCTTGAAAGCTTTGCCCTCGTACGAGAGGCAGTTTAGATACCATTTTCAGTGTGGGCATGCAGTCTACAGCCGAACTCAGGCGAAAGTCGAAGCTTGCGAGAGGCTTCTGAGGGAGCAGAGGGTTCAGGAGCGAGCCCTGGAGATTGCGAGGGGCAATTTGGACTTTTTCTACAAGATTGTGCTCCAGAACTACGCGGACTTCATGAAGTGTTACGCGCAGCAGCACCGTGGGCACACGAGCCTGCTGGTGAATTTTGGGAGGGATATGGAGAGGTTGAGGTCTGTGAAGCTTCATCCTTCTTTGCAAAACGGTAACAGAAAATGCCTGCTCGATTTCGTGAAGGAGGAGAATCTGAGGAAGGCCGTGGAAGACTGTGGGAGTTCGCATAGGCAGTTTGAGAACAAGGTTTCGGAGTTCAAGCAGGAGTTTGGAGATTTGAAGCGGAACACTGAAGATTTGTTTTCGGGCCGAGCTTTGTTTCTTGTCAAGGACTTGGATGTGGCGATGAAGGAGCACCAGCGGGTTATTAATGAGCAGAAGAGTATAATGCAAGCTTTAAGGTGAGACCATTCTTTCTTCTACACATACATACACAAATCGACGCGCATGTAATGCGCATGTTAAATGCGAATTGTCTGCACTGCTCATATGGTTGGTAGGACTAGATTCAATTTGAAGGTAGTTTGTTTGTACGTTATTGTGATGTGTAGCGATTTGTCGTTTTTCTACTAATTGCGGCTTGTTAGTAAATGTATTTAAAGCAACCCCGTTTGTGCATCGACTCACATGTCCTCACAACGGCAATTATTAAAACACATCATTTATGGTTTCTGTTTTATTTGTGGTTGGTGTTACCTACTAGCAGATGTTGAGTTTGGTTTGCTCAATTGGGTTTCGGAAAAGGCGAACTTATGGTCTTTCTGCTTCCTCATATTTCCCTATTATAACTGATTGGACCATCCTACCAAATATTATAGTCTGTGTAGTCTTAACGAACCTAATGGCCATTTTTATATAATTTTATGCTATAATTTCAAGTGGAAAGCAATGTGCAATCTGGAAGTGATCTTGATCTCAAGTATGGCTCAATATACTTCTTTTTTTATTTTCTTCATGTTCTGTGTTTTTATAAGGTTGAATTTAGTTTTCTGCGGACAAGAGGGTGTTTGTTCTTGTTATCCCTTTCTTTCCAAATGATTAAAATTTGTTTTTTAACGAGTTAGGACTTTAAGCCTCTGATGTTTTGCGTCTTGGTAAGTTTCAGTTTTCACACCTTCCTTGGGTAATTCTTTTCATGGTATGGGTAATATTTGACTCTATTGTTGGTGCCTTAATTTTGGGTAGTCATTTGTGACTTGTTGGAAACATGGAATTTCACCTGGATATGGGAATGTATAGAAAATGCATTTGATGTTGCAAGGATATGGGTATCAACAGGACGGTGTGTTTCGAAAATATGACAGTACTGTGGCTTGGAATAATAACAGTTCTATGTTATGTCCGTTTGTGCAGCAAAGATGTTAACACCGTAAAGAAACTCGTGGATGACTGTCTCTCGGGCGAGCTGTCATCTTCCTTGCGTCCTCACGACGCCGTCTCTGCATTGGGGCCTATGTACGACAGCCACGAGAAAAGTTACCTTCCAAAAATGCACGCGTGTGACCGTGCAATCTCCAATCTGCTCGATCACTGCAGAAATAAAAAGAACGAGATGAACATCTTCGTGCACAACTACATGCAGAAGATCGCATACATACAGTACACCATTAAAGACGTTCGGTACAAGTTTTCTGTTTTCCAGGAGGCTCTAAAGCGCCAAAACGACCAATTCGAGCACTTGAAAGTGGTCCGAGGCATCGGGACCGCGTACAGAGCATGCCTTGCGGAAATCGTGAGGAGAAAAGCCGAGATGAAAATCTACATGGGAAAAGCCGGACAGCTGGCTGAGAAACTCGCAACAGAGAGGGAAGCCGAAGTTAGGAGGCGTGAAGAGTTCTTGAAAGTGCACAGCACTTTTATTCCTCGGGACATTTTAGCTTCCATGGGTTTGTACGACTCCCCCAACCCTTGCGACGTCAATGTGACCCCCTTCGACACTAATTTGCTCGACATAGATCTTTCGGACATTGACCGTTATGCCCCTGAGTCGGTGTTGGGGGCCTCCTCGAGGAGTGGTTCCCGTTCTGAAGCTAGTGACGCGGGTTTTAATGACAAGTGTGATTCTGGTTTGTTGTCACTTGAGGAGTCGGATTTGGTGGAGATTGCTGGGACAAGCAAGATGGAGGTGGAGAACGCGAAACTGAAAGCTGAGCTGGCGTCTAAAATCGCCTTGTTGTGCTCTATGGACGCTGAGCTGGACTACGAATCTCTCGAAGAGAGTAAGTTGGAGAATGTGCTGAAAAATGCGGCCGCTAAGACATCTGAGGCCTTGCATTTGAAAGACGAGTACGAAAAGCACCTCCAGTCGATGCTGAAGGCGAAGCAGATGCAAATCGAGTCTTACGAAAAGCGGATTCACGAGTTAGAGCAAAGGTTGTCTGATCAGTACGGGCTGAAGCTTAAAAACGACGAGGATGCATCAGCTTCTGCGGGTTTGTCTGAAAAAACTGACGATAATAAGTCGGAAGTATCGGGAGTTGGAGAATTGCACGCTCCGCATGCAATGGAAGAGGTCTTTGGCGGATCGAGTTCATTGAAAGGAGTAGATGATAATATGGCAGATTCGTCGAGTATGCTGAATACTCAGTTGGATTCATCAATGATAGATTTGCAGCGGGATAAAGGACAAACGTCTGATAAGGATAAGAAGGAGAGGTTATTGGATGATGAAGGCATGGGCATGGCACTGTCTGCAAGCAATATGGCCGTTAGCATGTCACAGCCAGCCGATGCTCTATCATTTGAAACGGCACTTGAATCGAGTTTGGATGCTAAAATAAATGATGGTGTTGTGATGGAATTGAGAAAATCCTTAGATGAGAAATCTAGTCAATTAGGCGATGCAGAATTGAAGATCCAAGGATTAATGGATGAGGTTTCGAAGCTTGGTAGGGAGCTGGAGATGAGTCAGAAGCTCCTCGATGAATCTCAGGTATTATTATTTATGGATTATGAACGTTCACTCTTTGCTTCATATTGTGGTATGTTGGGGAATGCCATGAGGGCTTTGGTGAGTCTGAATATTGCATTTTGTTCTCCCTTTTCTTTTGACCTTATAACCTACTTTTCAAATTTGTTATTGCTAGAACTGATGTCTTTTTCATTTTGCTGATGATGATTGACCACACCGGTATTTTTTAGTTGTTTTGGTTTTAAACACCTGGAAGCTTTATCGAAAGAAGAACAATTGAGAAACATATACCTACCATCCTTGCCTGCATGCGCATCAATGCACGTTGCTTTGTTTAAATTAGTATCTATCTTTCTGCATCACTACTAGCTTTCAGATGGACTAAAGCTTAACCACTTCTATTTTGGCTTATCTTGGTCTTTCAAGTTCTCTGTCCTGTAAAAATTTGATCATTTTACCCATTGATGAACAATATTCAGTTGTCTTCCTTATAAACTACAAGTTGGAAGGTAAAAATAGGTTAGTTGTATGAGATCGGTTATAGTGGGAAGTATTTTCATGTTATTACACGAGTAGTTTACTTAAAAGATGAAATGTTTGGATTTATTTTTTATTTTTTAAATGCTGATCATTGGATCATTTTTTGAACAATGCAGTAGACATGAATGACAATATGTGTGCTTTGTAATTGTTCACATACAGAAACTGTTGTCTTAATGAATGAAAAAGTATGATTTGACCGGATGCATCTCTCAAATCGTATGGAGAATTTATTCCAGATACCTGTAGGTTCTTTTGTATTTTCCTTTTCTGATGCTAAGGATCAACTGAGAAAGAACTTTGGACTTTAATTTCTTATACCATAGTCTTTGAGCAATAATACTTATGCTGTGCTGGTAGCCCATTTGGTTGTTTTGGGAGAAATACATTAGGCAAAGATACTGGAGAAGTTAATATGTAGAGAACATAAATGTGTTTGAATGAGTTGTTGGGAAATAATTGATGTGATTTGTGCAGCATATTGAATCTAGTTGATCCATGTTCTAGTGGAATTCCTTATTGTCGATTTCTTTCTGTATAAAGTTGTGTATGTTGGTGCTGTCTCTTACAGTGTTACAATTTTAGATCGAAATGCCAATATATATGTTGTTTAAGTTCATGTAATTCTAATATAGGGATAAACACTAGCTTTCGGAGAAAAATGTCTTTTCTATAATAATGTAAAAATATATTCACCCTTAATAACTTAATTTTTTGAAAACGTTAATAATTGTCCAGGAACGAAATCATGTATGAGTAAAAAATTAGGCAGTGCTTTGAAAACTTTTCTATGTAACTTTTGACAGATGAATTGTGCTCATTTGGAGAACTGTCTGCACGAAGCAAGAAAGGAAGCCCAAACCAATCTTTGTGCAGCTGATCGAAGGGCTTCTGAGTATAGTGCATTGCGAATCTCTGCTGTCAAAATGCGTGGTCTTTTCGAAAGGTTGAGAAATTGTGTTTTATCATCTGGGGTTGCAAATTTTCCCAACTCTTTACGTGGTTTAGCTCAGTCTATCGCCAGGTGTGTGTTTTACCGATTCTTTAAGCATGCATTGTAATCTAAGTTGCAAAATAATGACTTTTCAACTAGTTTTACATGTGTTCATTTGTATATAAAGACATCTCAGTGTTCTGAGATAAAAAAATGATGTTACTAAATGTATTTTGATTTCTGATTGAATTTTCAGTGCCGCCAATGAAAGTGAAGATGACGGTACAGCCGAGTTTCGTGAGTGTCTTCGTGTACTTGCTGAAAAAGTTGGTGCACTATCGAGACAGCGTGCTGAGTTGCTCGACCGGCAGTCCAAAGCTGAAGCTGCAAACGAACAGCTTAGTAAGGAATTAGCAGAAAAGAGTGATCTGGTCAACACTCTTTACATGAAGCATCAACAGGAAAAGCAGGTACAATTACAAATCTCTTGTTTAGGTGGAACTTGGGGTACCAAAAGCGAAAAGTAGGTAAATTTGGGATATCGAAACTAGATTTTTTCGCAATTACGAATATGCCCCCTCAATTTTTTTTTTTTTTTGTTCTTACATTTTAATTCTTTCAATATGTCCAATGTGCTATGTGATCATCAAATGTGAAGCAAATGCAATTTACATTCCCCAATCGCGTTTTAGGTATAACCACTAAGAATGTGTTTGGTAAGCACCATATAAGCTTATAGCTTATTTCGTTAGCTTATAAGCTTCTTGTATTCAAATAAGCTTGGTTTAGTACAATTAGCTTTTTCCAAAAGCCCGAGCTTATCTCACAAAGCTTCATTGAGTAGCTTTTCTGTAATTTTTATTTCAGCTGGCTTATCAACTAATTTTATTACACTTTTATCGCATAAATTAGTTTTTCAGCCATAAGTCTTAAGTTATCTCCTATAAGCTCGAAATTCACTTATCAGTTATCAGCTAGCTTAGCTCATCAATTAGGTTACCAAACATCCAAACATAGCCTAAATCTATATACATATAATTGTTGGGAAGCTTCAATAAATTTTATTCAGCCAGCAATTAATAACAATATAACTTTATTTAATAAAAATCTGTATGACCAACATTCAAATGACAGTTACACAAGTAAAACCTTATTATTATTTATTTTTTATTCTATAACCACTTTACAAGATTTTAAATTTTCTGAATATACAATATTAAATTATTTTACAGCTAATATTCGTATTTTTGTATTATAATTATACAATAATAAAAAATTAAAAAAAAAAACTGATTTATATGGAAGTTAAATAATTTGTATTTATATTATACATTTGCATATAATCAAAATTTTAAAATGTAATACACACTTTATCTAATTTAAATTTTTAAATATCATATACGTATATATAATATATGAGTTTTTGTTTTCCTTTGTGCATGTGCACAGGATCGAATACTAGTATTATTGAAAGCAAACAAACAACAATTGCTATTTTCAGGCAAACAAGGAGAAGATATCTTTCGGTCGGCTAGAAGTCCACGAAATAGCGGCTTTCATCCTAAACTCCACCGGCTATTACGAGGCCATCAACCGTAACTGCCCTTACTATTTTCTTTCGTCCGAGTCCGTAGCCCTATTCACCGACCATCTCCCGAGCCGCCCCACATACATAGTCGGCCAAGTAGTGCATATCGAGCGGAGGACAGTAAAATCACTGCCTTCATCGCCTTCCGAACGTGCTGGCGCCAACAAGGACAGGGTTGACTTTCTGATGTCTGATGTGGGGACCACCAACCAGTTGACTTTGACTTCAGGGTCAACACCACCACCCTCGGCAAACTCGTACGGGCTTCCAGTAGGGTGTGAATATTTCGTAGTTACCATAGCTATGTTACCTGACACCACGATTCATTCGTCTCCTTCCTGATCTTGGTTGCGAAAAAAAAAATGGCCGAAAAAGACGTGATGGAAGAAAAAAAAAAAAGAAAAAAAAATTGTGAATAATTTATTTATATTTATTTTTCTATGGTATGGTATGTTTACTTTGGAGATGAAAATTAACTCTTTTGATGGGAGTTTGACTTCATCTTTTGCTCTATGTACAGCTGCAGATTGATTCAATCCATCTTTTTGTATATAGTGACTTGTCTGGTTCATGGAAGTTTATTATTGCAGATTGATTCAGTCCAAGTGGATTGATTTTTCTAGCTCTCAAATGTTTTGAATAACCAGGATATTTTAGTCTGTTCATGCAAATATTTTTCCATCTCTAACTTACAGGTTTTAGGCATCGATTCAAGTAGCTCACATACCTCCTGTAGCACTATATCCCATTTGTTGTATTAGTTTCCATCCTAACTCAATTTAAATCCCTCTTTTAAAATTCAGAACATTTCTAGTATAAGTAAATGTTATCTGTTTGTCTTCATGCTCGAAAACTTTAAAGTCTTTTGTAATCTGTTCAGTTGCTTGTGGAGAAAAATTTAGAGCATAATTAAGAATGTCTCCAACTGGGGGCTACAGATTGTAATTTTACCCTAGAATGGGAGCAAAAATAGTTACAGATTGTAATTACCCTAGAATGGGAGCAAAAATAGCTACAGATAACCAACAAGCCGAACTTGAGCATTTTGAGCTAATGTTCGTTTTATTTTTCGAGCAAAAAATCATGTTTAAATAATTTAGACCACAAACTTTTTCAATATGTTTGATTAACTTAAAATATGTTTGTTCGATCTTGTTCAAACTCAAAAATAAAAAAAGTAAAATATAAATACTTTCATATTCTAGATCTTTTATTTAAAATATCATGTAAATAAACAAAAAAATTATAATAAATTGATGTTCACGAACGAGCTTGTGTTCGTTCATTATTAAACGATTATTGAACGAGCCTAATCTTCTATCCCGACTCGACTTGATGAGAATGAGCTTTTATTCGTGAACATTTGGTTAAGTCCTAGCTACTGCATTGTCCTTGCGCGGCTGTGTAGACATTTATTTTTTAATTAAAAAATCTGAAAAACGACCAAAAGGAGTTCACAATCATATCCCTAGTGCTAATAGCTATCAGGATTCTTCACAAACCTCAGTTTCAGAATCCTGTCAACAGAGTCCCAAACTGCATCTTTACCNCAAAAAAAAAAAAAAAAGAAAAAAAGAAAAAACCAGATACCTCCATCATTATGAACATTCATATGCACAAACCACCACTAGTTCGGCCGTCGAGTAAACTCTTCGTCATCTTCTTCTATCCCAAATAAAAAATTTGAAAATTTCGGTAATGAAGCAATTCGCGGCAAATGCAGGAGCAAATCCCCAAAGGAGTCCGGTCTCTGCATCGCAGGCCCAAACTCAACCAAACCTTCGGAAGTCTCTATGGCATTGTCGGTACAATTTTCGTAAAAGATATTATCTTCTGAGACGGGCCCACAGTGGGCTTCAAATTCAGCATCCGGGCCATGGAGCAAGCTGCAGAGAGAGTTGACCTTCTTCATGAGCGATTGCTCATCGAGGCCCGTCGAGCACTGGGTGTCGTTAAGAAGAACTTCGGCAATATTCTCGAGCATTTCTTGGCATTCTGAGGCCCTGGCCGAAGGAAAATTTCTGCAAGTCATTTGCTCGGAAATTCGATTCTCGAGGTGGTTCACGAGGTCACTCATCGACATTCCATCAATCGCTTGCGTATCCATCACTAAGTAGTAATTTTCAAAAATATAATAATAAATAAATTGTTAAAAGATTATGCATGAAGATAAAAATAAATGAAAAAATCATATACCTGAGCTAGGCGAAGTAACTTCTTTAGAAACATTTTTTCCCGGAAAATGTTTATCCTCAAATTTTAAGGAGGACAACTGTGCAGCAACAATGGATTCTTCTGAATTTTCTCCAATAGAAGCTTCGGGCTCAAAGTATGGCGAGCCCACGTCAAGTTCGAGGAGTTGGCTCAAGATAGCTAAACGCGTGTCACACTGAATGAGCTTCTCATAGTGCTTGTTCAACACTCCTGGAGGGCATTGTAAAGAGTGTAGCCTGTTCAAATATCATCAAACACT